CTTGGTCAACAGGTACCGGTATGATTTTATTCTTGTTGAGCAGGAGTTAAATCCAATGAGAGAGTTGTTGGTTACTGCAAAAGTATGGGTTCCACTACTGGACCCTTAGTGTTATTATGTAATAATTAAAAGTCCTTGAGGCTACTAACAGATTATGGGGTTAGACCTCGGATCTATGCACACAACCCATTCATGAGTATCTACTTAAAAGCCTACCATAGACCTGTCTATGGTAAGGACACATAGTTTTTTCCTAGGCACTAATTACATGCAGATTCACAATACCACATTGGGGATTACACAGTAGCAACATTCCTTATTGCCTTCTACTACAAATAACAGAAGCTAAATCTCTGCTGTTTGGGACTAAATTACCTGTATCTTACTTGCTCTTCCATTTCCACCTACATGTTGTATTTCTCCCCAGCTGGCTCTTCCAGTCCATGGCAACAATTCTTGACTCACAAGAGAAAATAGGAAGACAAGAATCTCCTTTATCCATTACCAAAGACAGTGGCTGAGAGGAGGTACCCAGGGTAAAATAACCCATAAAAACAGACAGTTCAATAGTTGGTTCCCAAATGCTTTCCTCAGATTTAATAGAAATAAATTATAAGACCAAATGATTACAATAAAGCTTAGCTCTACTTGTGAGATGTATTAATATTATATATAAAATATATGGGAATAGTTGCAAAATATGTCATAATGCATATATGAATTGTAGTAAAAATTTTATAACTTTCTGGATCTAAATTAGTATGAATTCAAATCAGATGTATGCACATGGTAAAATTCAAAGTAGCTTTTAAAAGATAATCTACATTACAAAGTAAAAATCATATTAAACAAATGTATATAGAATTTTAAAATATTCAATGTAAACAAAAGCATTGGAAGAGGATCAGAGATAAAAACAAAAAGAAAATGAGGACACCAGAGGCAGGATCGTCAGCAAAGTGTTTGGCTTGCAATCTCAACGACCTGGGAAAAATCTCAATAGTTCAGGTTAACAAAAATAATAAAAAACAAGGTCTGGTGCCAAGCAATTATAAACCCTGGCAATGTAGGAAGAAATAGGTGTAACCTTGCTATTCACTGCTCAGACAATCTACCCTAATTGACACCTGCTAGGTTAATGAGACAGCCTGTCTCAAAATATTTGGAAAACTCCTGTGGAAGAACAGTATCCTTGTTTCACACACAAACACACACACATGCACACATACAAACACACACATGCTTAGACATGCACAGGCACACACACATGCCTGCACACACACATTCACACACACACACATGCTTGCACACACAGGCACACACACATGCACACACATGCTTGCATACACAGACATGCACACATGTCTGCACACAGATGCACTTCTGCATAGATATGAACATGTCTACTATAATTACACTATTGTAACAAACCCATTGTCTTTGCTTTTGGAACAATATATTTAAGCATTTTGGGCTTAAAAGTCATGGTCTCTGTAAAATGTTCTCAGAAGACATCTGAGTTCTAAATATAAGTATATATGCATATATATTTTAGTTCTGAAGGAAATATGAAAATATTAACTTGGGAAATATGGCCTTTATTGTAATATTTGTACAACATTATTGCAATTTAAAAGTATTTTAAGAGCAAAAGAGAGTATTGGTCCTTGTACATACATCTCATGGAATAAGGACTACCTAGTAACTAATAATTTTTAGACGTGGTAAAAATAATGTCTTGAATACTCTTCAGGTAAAGCGCCATTTTATTCTTTCATACTATCCTGATTCTACATGATTTTTTGAAATTTCCTGATAAGGAAGCATCTCACATCAGTTTCCTAAGATCTGAGTATTGATAAAAATCTCCTTAAACTATTGCAGCTTAGAAAGAGCTCATATTATTAGTATTCATTACTTTTCCATTGCTTTGATAGAAGAGCATGAACAATGTGATTTCTAGACTGAAAGGTGTGTTTGGACTTAATATTCCTGTTAAATATGAAGAGAGCAGCACCATCATTGTGGGAAATTGGGCCAATAGGTGGGTGTGGAAGATGGAGCAATAAGCTTATATCTTCCATCTTCAAACCATAGGCTGGAAGCAGAGAGAAAGTAAACTAGGAATAACATGTGGATTTGGAAAGTTAGAAGTCCAACCAGAGTGATAAACTTGCTCCATCAAGACAACATCTCCAAAACCAACCCAAGCGTTTCTACCAATATAAGACCAAATATTCAAATCCCTCCAAATTTGGAGAACATCTCATTCAAACCACAAAACTTCTTAATATATAAGATGAATAATTTGTATTTGCTGTGAAAACTGTAACAGTAAGTGTACGATGAATAATTCATATTTAGCACAGTATGAGAATATTGTAAAAGTTGAAAAATTATGATATTAGCCATTTCCAAGAGAAACACTTTTTCATCTTATGCACCTATAGACTACATGTCTTTATTCTGATTACCTGAGACACACATGAATACAGACTTAATTCTTTATTCTTTCCCCTCCTGCCCGCAGACTAAAATATAGCAAGTCACTCTATTGCTTTCTGTATCTTTAAAAAATACTAATTACCTAGTGAGTGTTTGAATCTTGATGTCTTTAGCAGCCCACTCTATCTTATGTTAACCACTTCTTAAAGTTTCATGAATCAAATCCAATTTTACCACCTAGGTTACTCTGTCTTTTGGAAGATTCTGCAAGGCAAAACAAGCTTACTTAACAATGCTGTCTTGTTTGATTTCTCCAACACATGGCTTTTAAAGCAACTGAAGTTTAATCAGTGCTTTAGTACTCCCCTTAATAATGTGTCATTTACCACATATAGACTCAGCGCCTTATTATAATATGAAAATACATCCAGGAATGAAATCACTTCTGGTATTGTGCCACTCTATCTTCTTTCTATGATAATAACTAAGAGCACAGCTTTTCTATAGCTCCTTCCTAGGGTTTTTATGGCTAATGCAGCTGAAATTGGCTCTTTCTCTCTTGTCTGTGATTGCTAGTCTTTCTCTGAACCATTTCTATACAGCCTTCTAGTACCTTCCAATCATCAGATGCAGGGAGATTTTTTTTCTTCAACTGTTAGATTTTATACGAGGCATTTTTTCTTGGCACTATTGCAAGGCCTTTTCTGATCATCTATCAGATGGTGAGATCAGCTAGAGATAAATGTCTCTTCACACCATCAGGGGTGAGCATTACACGTCATTTTATGCAGTTACCTTTAGCATGGTGTTTAGTGTGTAGTTAGACACTTGTCCATTATGCAGTGAACACAGTTCGCATCAATAGTGCCTCCTAAAATATTAATGAGGCTAACAAGCTGCAATTTTGTTTTTGAGTTAGGCGAATGTTTAGTTGAGTAGAGGTGCCAAGAAAAAGAATAATGTGATAAAACATTTCCTTGTTTAGAAAAGGGCTTGCAATTGAAAGAAGAAAAATCAAATTTTCAAAGTTCCTTAATTTTTAAATGCACCATAACTGATTTTGTGTTGGGACCAGTGTTCCTATAGAAAAAGTTATTCCACTGAAATTGTGAGACTTCAATGTTTTCTAACACCACAGATTAGAAGCTGAGATTTCAACATTAGATCAACAGCATGGGTCATACCTTGCAATAACAATAACAACTTGTTGCTGGATCAGTTACTAAAACATATTGGCATGTCAAGTTCATACAGCTCTTTTGTAAAGGCCAACTGCATTTGATCTCCCAGTGCAATGGCTGAAATCACATGAGTTTCATATAACATTTCTCAAAATAATAACCTGTTATACTGTGCACAAATTCATCACTAAATTTTCATGATTAAGACAATCGTTCATTTGTGGCATGGACATGTTCACTTGGTCAAGTGTAAAATTACCATTTGCACTGACCTCTATGTTTAATAACTTCTATGAGTTTCATAAGACATGAAATACCTAGGCAGTATGCAGCACATTATACCTCCGTGTTAGCAGACTACCTTTCCAATACAGAATTTTATCTCAAGTTGTACATAGAAAATAGTGAAGGATATGTGACAAATACAGTTAAATTGGTCCATAAACACAGGCAGTTGTTTTTTTCAGATTTTGGGCTTTGCTTTCTTTATATGGTATACATATAGAATAATAATGCTCAATTTGAACAATTATGAAGATGAATAAGTTAATGCTTACAGTCATGAAAACAGTGTTAACTTTTAACCATTTATAATACTTGGTCTTTCTGTATGTAGCTCAGTGACAGAGCATTTTTCTAGCATGTTCAAGGCTCTAGAATCTTGATCCAACACTGTAAAATATGTTTTGATATTATTACCAAAAATATCTCTATCATCCCACATGTATCTCATTATCTGAATGTTAAGGAAATCTAATTTCTGTTTTATTATTCATAGTCTTGAATTTTTTCCCCTAGGTATTGCAGAGAAAACAGTATTGTTTGACCGACTATGTTCAAAAATTTGAAAGTTACAAAGTCATAACTAGTTAAGGGTAAATAATTTTGTTGAGTCTTCAAACTTTCTGTTTATTTTCCTATGCTTCCTCTACTGTTATTTTTTTCCTCTCAAGGAAACTCAAAGACTGTGTCTGTTCCGCCTACACTTTTAACAGTTTTCAGACATCTCTCTCCAACCCTCACTTTTCCCACTGCTATCATTGAGGAATTCCTTTACTCCTTGCGAGAGTTTTAATATTCAGCAGGTTAAGGAAAACCATGGTCAGCTTTAGAATTTTAGTCTCTGCTGAGCTTTCAAAGTGTCAAGGCCCTAAAATAATATGAACAGCAAGAGTACTAAATCTTTCATTATTTCCAGTTTCCCCTTGAGCATACTGACTTTACAATAAAGCAGCTGCCACTTACAGTCTTCTTTATTGCACGGTGGGTAATAGCTACAGGGCGAAAAATAAGTAACTGCGTCAAGTTAGCCTCACTGCCATTATGATTCATGTGTAATCATTGCACATTTGCATCTACTCTTTTAACATGCAGGTACTTCATAGATTGGAAGAGTGATGGGGACAGCTACTTCACAATAGATGGAACGGAAGGAACCATCGCCACGAATGAATTACTAGACAGAGAGAGCATGGCGCAGTATAATTTCTCCATAATTGCAAGTAAAGTTAGTAAGTATGGCATGGGCAGAATCAATGTTAAACTGAAATTCTGTGCATTTAACACTCTTAAATGAGTCCCTGCTGAGGTCTTTTTTATTTTAGGACTGACAGCTGAGTAGTCTCCTGGGGAAATTCAGAAACCTGTTCCTATGCCTCATAGCATAAGTCCAGAGAAATTGTGACAGCTGCCAGAGAGCGCTGCTTGCAAGATTGCAGGAATACCTAGAAGTGATTTTCACTGTGTAACCTCACCCTTTTCTATTAAATACTTTCCAGAATTTGCAGAAGTATCAACTTCTCTTCTACAGATATTCCGTATATCTGTTATTCAGAGTTATATAAGTTTGAAAAGAAGAAAATAAGCATATGAAATCACTTATTGTGAAATATTTTCTGAATTTTGAGGAAAGAATTTGAAAAACTATCTTTTTCTCTTTCCCTTCTAATTCGCAAGAACATATATGAAGATAAGTGTGGATTATATTAAAGATTTAAGTGGTCTTTATGAGAACCTTCCCTAGAATATACAGATTGTTTAAAATTCCTTGTGCATGCTTGTGGCACAGAAGAGAATTTTCCAGACTTAGAGTGAAAACAGAACTTACTTGTTTGATAATGCACTCAAAGATGTTGCACATCTATCTCAATCACAAAAGGAGAATATTTAATATTTAGCTATTGGCAAGAGTGTCTTTATGAGAAACACCTGTTCTCCTTCCTTCTGCTATGGTCTTTTGAGAGTTTTGAAAAGTCCCTTTGGAATATCTTTTTCCCCTCCTTATATTACTTTCAGCACCTGGAAGAAATTTATAATACTTTAGACATTAATTTCATATTTCAAATATAAAAAAGTACTACAAACATTTATTCTGTACCGGAGTGTTGCTCAGTTTCAAATCAGTCTGGATGTAACTATGGAAGAGATGTGTTTATATTTTTAAATGTTTGATGTTTGAACATATGTGTAGGAGTGTGTGTACATGTGCATGGCAGAATAAGTTTACATGTGTTCAAAATTTTCAGGAAGCCAGAGATGTATCTCAGATTTCACATCTGGGGAGATGTTCTTATGGCTGTTTAATACAAGCTACCATGGAAAACTGGGCCATGCTAATTAAGCTAGGTTAGTTTGACATCAATCCCTAGGCATGTGAACTACCACACTCTCCTTAGTACATATGTAGCTGCTGAAGATCAGATGTACATCCTCATTTTTTTTTTTGGAAAAAGAATTTCACTATCTGAACTTTTTCCTAGTCCTCAGTTTTGTTTACCTTTAACAAATTCTTAGAAAAATGTACAGTCAATTCAGTTTTCCAGATCACAATTATATACCAGTCAGTTTTATTATGTGCAGTCTTCTGTAATTCTTAATTGTAAATTGTGAGGTTTACTGTTGATTTCCAATTAGGTAGAATCTATTATCAGCTAAGGCAAAAATATCAAGTCATGTCTTTAAGGAATTTTGTAAATCACGTTAAATTCTTGGAATATCTAAATCTATGATGGGTTATCTAAATTACCAAGTCTATTGAGTTTGGAAGATCGACTCCCAAAGTAGGCAGGAGCATCTCATTGGGTTGAATTCTATATTGAAAGGAGAAATCTAACCGAGCAGGAGGATGCTTTTAATCTCAGAATCTTGACTGTAGACACGATATGAGCAGCTTCCTCAACTTCCTGCTGCCATGGCTTCTGTTTCACGATAGTACATAGTCTTGAATTGAGAGCCAAAATAAGACCTTTATTCGTAAAATTGCATTTATAAGGGTATTTTATCAAGGCTGTAGAAAAGAAACAGAAACAAGAAATTAAAGTCTGGAAGTGGATCCATTGCTGTGTTGTTCTTAGTCTTTGGACCTCCGTAGAAGGAAGAATGATGCTTTTGGGTTGAAGGCAATAGGCTTTAGTGCTGAGTTTAATGGATAAATGTGCAAAAGGAGCACAAATGTGAAGAGACTCAGCTCAAGAGGCATCAGAGTGGAGCAAAGACTGTATCAGAAAGTAGACTAGTGTATATTCCTGTGATATTCTGGTGAAGAATCTGGTTGTATTCTGTTTTTGTCCTGAGAACTTTGTTGTGAACTCAAGAATGACTAATCTAAAGACTACAGTAGACAAAATGAAAGTTTCAGAGAAAGGATAAAGTCTGAACTGAGAATGTCACAGAGAATATTCTATGATCAGATATAACCACTTAGGGAGCTGGCATGTCCAAAGCATTACAATGTAGAGAAGCAACTCTAGCTTCAGTAAATGAAGATACTTCTCAAACCCTATTGGAGTTATAAATTTTGTCCATGAAGTGTCCAATGGATGGAGTCTATTTATTCTGTAACAAGTAAAGTATCATTAAAATGCCTCACCAAATGCTCTTTTGTGGGACAAAACATAAGACTATGCTTTAACATAATTTAACATATTGATAAATAAAATATTTTAATATTTTACAGATATTTTAATGTTGTCTTACTAATTCATTTTACTTTTGATATGATAAATTCTTAAACCTATTGTCAATAATCAAATTTTAAGCTTTAAATCTGAAATTAAGTTATAAAATGAAATAAATTTATAGTTTTATTAGTTGTGGAGAGGACAATGTTCAGGAAACTGTTATTTGTTGTAGATGTGAGAAAATTAAGAGTATTTTTTACTCAAGGACATTCCAGTTTAAGAGTAGATAAAAATTAGCTGAAGTGAAGACTTAGTAAGATAAATTGTGAAAATGTACTGAATACTACCTAGGTAGTTTGGATTTAGTTGAGCATTGGAGGAATGTGTAAAAATAATGACTGGTTATTGAATCAACAATGAATTATAAAGTATTTACATAAAAGGAAATTATTTCAACACAATCTTCTGAATAGTGGATTTTGATTTATAGATCTGAAGCATAATAATATTGTCATACAACATGAGAAAATAATACTGTATTAGAATAAAAAGCAAGAGAAAAATAAACTCTTAAGCTAAACTATACTAGTAACTATATAACTCATTTTATTCCTGATGTTCTTGTATGGTGTTGCCCACATGTGGAAGTCAGGTAATTAATACACAGAAGTAGTATGTAGGTGATTATTATCACACAGCTTGTGATAATCTAGCTAGAAAGGGACCACAGAGTTCTCAATAAGAAGCACATCTAGTGAACTAGACATCAGCATTTTATATAAAAGATGTGCCATTTATTCATACATGGAGGGATGATATCTTTTTATTTTGTTTTCTTTTTACTAGTATTCCTCAATGTTATAACAATAGTTGTGTCATACTCAAAGATATTTTCTATATATTTACTTGTGGGAGGACTGTTCCACACATCTGTGTGGAGGTCAGAAAACAGGTTGTAGGAGTTGGTTCCTTCCTTGCATCAAAGTGTCCTTCGCACGAAACTTGGGTCATTAGATTTGCCTGCAGGCAACTTTAACCACTAAGTAACATTATAAGTACTTTATTATAAGACAACATTCTGTATGCACTGAAGTGATCTAAAATATTCTTTATTATTAGACTAGATGTCTGTACGCACTGAAGTGATATAAAAATCGAAAAATGTGTGTGTGTGTGTGTGTGTTTCTTGAATTATCTTCCAGTTGCCCAAATGCACTACTATGAATATAAATTTGGTAAAACCAAAACAAGTAGAATCAACCACCACAGGTATCTACATTTATTCAAATATTAGTAGGTACTGAGTTCAAAATGTCATTATTAGTATAAATGTAAATCAGTATCATTTTGATTTTTGTGTTTATATTTTATTTGATATGACCTTATCAGCTATTTTCTAAGTTAATTTTCCTCTTTTCAAGTGCCTTTTCCTTTCTCTAAGAAATTTTTTTAATTTATAAAGTAATTGTCAGCATTTCAGTTGCAGTTTTAATAATACTTTGAAAAAAGAATAACTCATTAAGTTTCACACTATTTCAACAAGAATTGCTTTATATTATGTCTATGGAAATAGTAATCTTTAGCAACACAATAAGCTGTTGGTATCTTTTGGTTTTCACTATTGTATGCTACAAAATTATGGATAAATCTAAATTTTTGTTGTAACACTTCGTATTTTATTTTAAACTTTTAAGTTCTTATGAGAAGAATTGAGTAATGTCTTAGAATAAAAATAATGTAAATCAATCTAATTACTCCATCAATTTTCACAATCAATATTAATTCCAGTCTTGATTTTTTTCTTAATTGCTATCTGACTTTCTTTTTCAGTTAAAATTGCATGCTGAACATTTCACATAAAACTGGTTTGTGTGAAGACAGGCATTTTGGTGATACAAAATTTTTCTAAGAGCTAAAGGCAGAAAAATTTTTACATGAGGATATTATTTTTATGTTGACATCATCTGTATTCTGTTTATATAATGAACCTCTCAGTTAAGTGTGAAATTCTGGTCACCAATCACTAGACTTACACATTACTGTTTTCCATGACATATCACAATTTACAAAGTATAAATATTTCAAATTATAATGATTATATATATAGATGAAAGTATTTTTGAACTTGAAGTATATAACATGTGATAAGTTAGCTCAACATGTCTTTCTTAAACATGCTATTTGTTAATGTAGCATACTTTGGTTATGACTATGATAATGTGAATAAATATTCATTGGTCTAGTCCTCTTAGTGTGTTAGAGACAAGGTTAATTTTAAAAATAAATTTTAGTTCATGGCTGAAAGAATATCATGTTTAAAATGTTAATATATAAATTAAACAAAGAAGTAAGATACTTAAGTAATTGAAGAAATACGACAAGGTGTCTTTTCAATGCTGCTTACTATAGACAGCGTCACCCCTTTGCAGTTGATTCTGGAACCAGTAAGCAGCATTCTTCCATGGTATCTGCTATTGTTCCTTCTTTCTGGTTCTCACCCTGATTTCTCTCAGTGACAAACTGTACTAGAACAGTTGGCGATAACCCCTTTTATACTTCAAGTTGAATATATTCAAAAAGTCTTAGAAGCAATAATTCTCACTGCATAAAGTCATTCATATGTGGGATTTGTAAAAAAAAATATGATCTCATAAACTTGGGAAAATGATGGGGAATTCCAGAGGCTAATAGTAGTATTGGAGGAAAGATATGCAGGTAAAGGGGTCTATCAATGGAGACCAGCTTCTCAATGGGCAAATGTTCATTAATAAAGGCATTGATCTGTGTAGCAATTTTATGTCATGATGAAATACTAAGATGTATTTTCATATGTGAATTTCTTCACAACTTTGATCTTTATTTCAGTTATTTTAAATAATGTTTATATTATCTAAATGGCTTCTTTGTCGTCTACTAATAATCATCCTGTTTAGTTATTCCCACTTTTGTTTAAGCCTATATTAGTGGTTGATTTTTAACTTTTTATATTCAAATATTTAATATATTTGGTAACCAAACATATATCAACTATTTTCTTTTGTCTGTTTCTAGAACAAAACTCTTTAGTTTATTTATTTATTTATTTATTTATTTATTTATTTATTCGAATTCCAAAAAAATCTTTACCCATCTGTCGTGGAGCAGATTATTTTTTTCTGGACTTGAGGTTTTTGTCAGTGTGTCTATTCAGGTCACTTCTGCATGTGTGGTATAAAAGGAAGCCAAAAGATGGGTTCAGCACTCAAAATAGGGTTATAGATGATTGAATGCTTCCAGGAAATCAAGCTCAGGTCCTCTGGAGGAGCTGACACTGCTTGTCATCACAGTGAATTCTCTTCAGCACAAATTTAAACTTCTGTTAGGTCTCATATAGAACGCAACAGTAAAATTGGACCTCATTTATAGATTTTAGAGCTATCCATATGATCAAAATACTTTGTCTTATAAACTTTATAGGGAGCATTAATAGTCTACATAAAGAGAAATATTGATTAAGCTAATGCCTTTTCTTCTTGCTATTGATGGTACCATTTAGCGTTTGCATGAAAATTGTAACTTTGTTTGAATTCTAAATTAATTTTTTAGTTATAAAATATCACTTCTGGAGTCAGACGTGCTACTCAGAGCTCAGGGAACCTTGTGGAAGAGGAAGCAAAGAAAGAGCCAGAGGAGATAGAGGATACTAGGAGAACAAGGCCCTCTGAATCAACCAAGCGAGGTTCAGATGAACTCACAGAGACCGAAGCAGTGTGAGCACAGGGCCAACACAGGTCTACACCAGGTCCCCTACATATATATTACAGCTTTCAATAAAATGCTTTAATGAACTCCTGACTATATAAAATAAAATAAAATAAAATAAAATAAAATAAAATATCACTTCTGCATGATTTTTAAAGATATTTTGATTCCATAATTTATTCCAGGATAAATTCCAAATTTAGAATTTTGAAATACTCCAAATACTACGTAAACTCTATGTGGTTTTACTATCTAGTATTTTCATCAAAATCTTCACGATATAATAGATATAAAGAAATTTTAGCATAGTTGTCCCAAATATGGTTATGATGATTCAGTAAATAGGTCATTTTATTTTCCACACAATATAATAAATTATATCTCTAAACGAAGGAAATCTGTTTTGGTCTATAAATTACATACTCTGACAAATTATTTCATATTTATTTTATAACACTAGTCGTTAAAGAGATGTATTACTTCTGTAGTTGGCACTTAAGAATTAAAAATGAGGTTTGTATAGTATTATAATACCATAAAATAAATTAAACATACATGATAGAATAAAATATGCTAAAATTAAGTCTGTGAATCCATTACTCACTTCAACCCTGCTAAATTGCTGTTATTGTTTTTCCTTTTCCTTGATTGAACATCCATTTTCTAATATCTACAATGATGTTTTGTGACATTTAATTTTGGAAAATGTAGATATCCTACAGTGCACAGAATAATTACACACAACAAAGATTTGTCTTAGTTAAAATGTGAAAAATAAAAAAGTCCTTAGGAGAAAGACCATTAACAACAAGATAATGTTAATATTTTCAATAATTTACTTGTGGAAATTGGTGGTAATTTAAATTTCAAGCAAGCAAACAATAACAATTTACCAATTTGGCATAAATTTGTGGTGGATTAAAATTGATCTAATATATAGTAATATTTTATTTATGTTTTAATAAATAAAGCTTGCCTAAATATAGGAAGAGCAAAGCTAAGCCACTAGAGGTCAGGCAGTGGCAGCACACACCTTAAATCTCTGTATTTAGGAGACAAGGTCACTGGATCTCTGTGAGTTCAAGGCCACCCTGGCCTACACGAGATCGATGCAGAAGCAAATATAGGTAATGGTGCCTATAATCCCATACTAGAGGAAATATAAAATGAGAGGAGAGAGAGACTTAGTCCACTATGTCTGCAATTACCCAGCCATGGTAGACGTAAGACTTCTCTAGTGGTTTGGCTGTTTTCCTTTTCTTGTGTTTAGGAAAGCTTTATTAATTAAAACATAAATGAAATATCACTATACTGGTACATTTAAATAATTTTATAGATTATTAAAGTAATTTCTTTATAAATGCAGTTGAGAAATTTTGCTGCCTGTCAAAGACAAATCATCTCCACAGAAACTTAATGAAATAAAGTGTGAATCTTGTACTTTTAACTTGAGCTCTGCTTCTTAGATAATGTAGAAACTGGAGTCTGAATCTCATATCAGTTAGTGGAGAATTGAACCAGTGTGTTGCTTTTCATGAATTCTATTAGTGTTTCATTTTATAGATTAGTTCACTACCTTACATGGTTTTATAGTCAAAATATTGTTTTATTTATGTAAAATAATTTACAATGTTCCAGAAGTCTTTATTTAAAACTTTGTCCTTACTATTTCCATTTGTAAGTTTTGGAGAAATCTATACCACCAATCTTCAGAGTTTTATATAAAAAAGGAACTTTAAAAAATGACTATGTTACATATGCTGTGAGCCTGAACTCACCCATGCAATGTGTTTTGGATCATCAATACACACTAACCATTACAATGAAGGGGGCCACTGTTTTAAAATTATTGTTGATTTTTAGTTTCCTTTGAAAATAAAACTCAGTTTTACCTATTTACTAAATTTTGTAAATACATTTACACTAATTAAGTAGCCAATCTCCAAGGAAACAAATTTAATGATACTTATTTTATAGCTTTAGCAATGAAATTACTGATAACTTACAAAGTTCATTATACTTTTGTATAACACCATTGCATTTATGCAACAAGCCTATTAAAAAGGAAACTAGTAAAACAACTTGTTTTATATGTGAAGAATTGGAATTCAGTAATGGGAAACTAAGGATAAAATTGGTTGTCAAAATTCAACTTTGTCCTTTCAAACAAATAATGTACCTTGATAAATATAATTTTATGTAACTTATATTTCTGAATCATTGTCCACTATTATCAATATATCCCACAATCACAACCCATACAGTAGCATATACTTGTTAACTTCACTTTCTGTATGCCTATGTGATTATAGATTTCACTTATACATTAATTTGTTAAAATATCATTAAATGCCGCATATTGTGTTTTATGTTAAGTTTTAATGAATATTGAGAGCAAGATATTTAGACTTGTTGGAATCAAATAGTAGGTATGACTTTTAGTGGGATTTTCAAAAGTTTACACCTAAGTATTAGGAATCTTCATGATTCAGAAGATTTTAATTTTTTACAAAAAATTATAGAAAAAGTATGGTGGGATAGTTGGAGTTTTATAAATCTGAATTCATAATTAGCTCTCTTGATGCTTTTAGCTCTATATTTTAGATAAGACCATCAAATATTTGAGGTACTTTTTTTTTCATTTAAACACTGTCTGGCTCATTAGTTCTAACCTCTTATTGACTAACTCTTACATATTCATTTAACCCATCTCCATTAATGTGTATCGCCACTTGACCTTGACTTACTTGCATGAGTTTAACCAGCATCTGTCTTAGAGAGGAGAGCCATGGCGTCTGCCACACTGCCTTCTTTTTCCCATCATCCAGTCCTGTCTTCCCCATCTATTTAAGTTCTGCCCTATCAAAAGACCTAGGAGATGTCTTTATTTGACCAATGAAAGCAACACATAGAAAGAAGACCCGCTTATACCATTTCCCTTTTTTCTGTTTTTTTAACAAAATAAAGGCTTTCATTTAACATAGTAAAATTTCATATAACAAAACAGTGATCAAGCAAGAATTACAGTTACAATATTTTGATCTATTTTATCTTTTGTCATAACGATGGAAAACTATAACTATAGCTTACCATTCTTCAACTCCAGTAGGATATAATATTACCTAAGTATAGAAGAAAAGGGTATTTTGTTTAATAAACTGATTATCAATATTCAATAAGGTAAGATCATATAATAACCTTAAAAAGATAAATAAATCACACTAGGCAAAAAGTCTCACACTACTGCTAACATCTCAGTACACTTCCTGCTACTGGGTTTTCCTCCACTACACAATTACTCCTTTCTGCTACCGTGTGTTTCTCCACTACAGTTACTGCTACCTGTGACTGTGTCTTCCTCCAGTTCACAATTACTCCTACCTGTGACTGTGTCTTCCTCCTTCTCCATTAGTTTTTCCTCAATAACTCTCTTATTGGTCATTGGTTTTTTAAAGTTCAAACCTTGCAATTTCCTACAGTTGAAGATTATTTTCTATCTTATTTCAAAAATAATCGAGAACAAATTTGGCTTTCAGAGCAGCAGTGTCCATGTTTACAAATATTATCTTTTTCTGTTTTTAACAGGTAACCCATTATTGACCAGCAAAGTCAACATACTAATTAATATCCTAGATGTCAATGAATTTCCTCCAGAAATATCTGTACCATATGAGACAGCTGTATGCGAAAATGCCAAACCAGGGCAGGTATGTTGCCAATACTCTTCACAAAGTGTATACAATGGCTTGTATGTTTATGTTTTAAGTCCAGACAAAAATACACGAGTATACTTATTTTACTGCATCAGATATCTTTATTAAAATGAAATATGACTGATGCTGCTAAGCTCATATGAATTAATGATAGATGGAAGCATGTGAAGCTAATAAAAGAACAGTGTAGCAGCCTCAATTTTTCATGGCTACAGAATATAACTAAGATAACTAATATAACCACCTCTTGATTCAGAGTCTGAAATAGTAAATGAAGAAGTATTGTTTCTCTATTAATAAATACTGTTGTTTGGTTATTTGAAACATTAGAATGCATAAACTAAAATCGTGTATATTAGTCTGTTTTTAATTTTCAAATGCCGCAATACATTAAGGTTATTTTACATCTAATAAAAATTTCAAATAAGTGAAAAATCTTTTAATTCTTTGAATTAATGCCTTTGGGAATTATTCTCTACTAAATTAAAAGTGAGTTTGTTATACCTTAAAGATTGGAACTTTGGAAAAAGTAAATTTTATATGAGTTAAACTTCCTTTCCTTTCATGTGGGGAAAATGATGAAAAATAAAAGCTTGTGTGCCCAGAGGCTCTATTTTAACAAATACCTTTTTTTCCTTTATTAGAAAACCCTTTTTAAAAAGAGATGACCCTGAAATCTTCTTTGAGAGTTCCGAATATGTGGGTTTTGGGCACATTGAACTTGAACTCATCCATTATGTCCCTTGTCTATGAACTATATATAAGGAGAGATTATCTATCCTCTATCATTGTCTAATAAGTATATATATGAATATTATATATATATATATGAATATGTGTAGTACATGCTTTGTGGTTGTATCTAACTATAGATTAGTATCTACCATGAAACTCTCAACTATCTATCTTTTATTTTTTATCTATCATTTACTATTGTGTGGAACATCCAAGCTCTTACAGTACAAAATTGCTTAATTCATATGCTTGATAGTTTTTCATATTCTCTGTCCTGTCTCTAACATACTTCCTAATATTTTCTGTAGTATATGGCTTTTAGATATCCTATTTGATATTCTTTCTTATTTTTAAATCTACTAATTGCATTTTTTCCAGGATAAACTGAAGTTACTTTTAGTTTAAATTTTAAGGGATCAATGATGAATTACTTAGATTTAATAATGACATACAACTTGGGAGACACTTTGAAACAGAGATCTAAATGTTTCCTTGTCCGAGTAACATAGAAACACATATTATTTAATTCTAAGCAATGGGGGGTGGGTAGAGTAACATAGCAACACAAGCAGGGATGTATTCTTTAGCTTGTCTCATTTTTTTTTTTTAGTTTTTTAATAAATCAACACACACAATGCACTTGATCTTCAATTTTGCTCTTACAGGAACACCGATATGATCAGATGTGCTGTTTCTAGTTGGATCTCTGGTTTAGTCTGAAATGCATATATATCACTTAATTTAACATGTAAGAAAGGCTCCTTTTCCTTTGTTTGTTTGTTACTGAAAATTTTCAATGCTTTTTGGTTACACAGAAATTGATTTAGAATTAGGATGTGTCCTCTGATTGTAGGTGCCATTATTATCTGCAAATCCTTAAGGAAATGTTTACAAAAGGTGTGTGTACCCAATTGGACCACTGACATTGATTCGAAAAGTAGCATTTCTCTCTATCTATGTTCTTTATTAAATAAAGTTATTAGACTTGTGTAGAGTTCCCTGTGAAATTGATGAGTGTCTTCAAGTTTAATCTCAACTTTGTCTCAGATAATTCAGACAGTGAGTGCTGCGGACCGAGATCTCTCACCTGCTGGGCAGCAATTCTCCTTTCGATTACCACCAGAGGCTGCCATTAGACCAAACTTTACAGTTCATGACTTCAGAAGTAAGTATAAGCACTTACAGACTCACCTCTTACGGAATTTTGTCAAAGGGCACACGGGAATGATTCAACTGCTTCGTCTAGAAACAGTTTTTCAACGCATAGATAAGACAGCTTACTTTCTTTATAGAGGGCTTTTGATGATTTAAACAAATAAAACATCTTTCTGAGAAATTGATTGCTTCTTTATTTGGAATAAAGTCCTATAATGATATGCAAATATCTTATCCATGCAAATTAATTCTGTATTCATTTCTTTTATTTGAGCTACAAACAGTACAGAGGTTATGCATCAGACAGTTCAATTAGAATGAACGGGATTTCATTCTCACTGCTTTATTTCCCATGGGCCACAACAGAGAGTATTTTCCTAAGTAATGTAGAACTCAGAGCTTCTCTATTGAGATCCCATGCAAAACCTTTAATACAATAACTTAAAAGAGTCTATTAAGATAATTTTAGATACAGCTTCTGAAATCATATCTTTCACTCCACAATTATATACTACTATCCACACTTCTCTATCTTATATTACTGTATTTATATTTCATGGGTTTGGTCATTTATCTCATCAAAGTAACTATATTCAGTAAAGCACACATCAATTATCTGATATTATAAAATTTGTTATATGAAGTTAAAGTTTTTTGTAAATCAAAATCAACATGCAAGGATTGAAAATACAATTTTAAAATCTCCAAATATTTTAATATTTCTTTTACGCATTGTAAATTATATTTGTTAAATATTTTTTGTGTATTGTAAATACTTTAAGGGTCAAAATGATGCTTTACGTGACTTTTTCTTTCCCATAATGTAAAGAATAATAAATTTGAATGCTCAGTTACAAGTAAATAATAAGACAGAAACAAAGATTTTTTTTTCATTCTATTTCAAGAAAATCGAGTTGTAAAAGATGACACCATTCCCACACTCCAAAGAAAGACTTCTAGGCTTTTTATTTCTCTTCTTCTAATGAGTGCCACTCAGTTTATGATTTCTGACTTCAATGGTTTCCTTGACTCAACCTCATGGAGCCAACTATGGGGTTCTGACTGTCTCAATGGGGCTTTAGTACATCATTAGCCTATGACTGTCAACAGCTCAAATATTTGCTCCACTTAATCTATTTGTGTATATTATTAATGGTGATGCTATCGTGATATTTTATTTATTATAAAATGTCTCTGAAATAATAATAAATAAAATGTATCAAACATACTATAATTATAGCCCAAAGTTTTTCTCATAAAGATATTTACTATGGTAATAAGTACAGAGAAACTGAGTTGGTAAAATTCATGAATTCCATTTAGAATTAGTGTAGTGGATTGTGACTAGAATACTAATATGGCTCCAAAATAATTTTATGTTCGTAAGTGGTATAATTTTCTAATTATTTACATGATTCTCAAAGTTAATATAAAGTTTATATTAAAAATAATATTTTAAAAAATGCTGCAATGCAATGGTGATGTAGGCCTTTAATCACAGCGCAGAGGAAGCAGAGGCAAGTGGTCATCTGTAAGTTTGAAGCCAGCCTGGTTTACAGAGTGAGTTCATGGGCAGTCAGGACTGTTACAAAGAGAAACCTCGTCTTGAAAAATCAAAAGCAACAAGAAAAGAGATTTCTTCAGTTGAAGCTATAGACTGAATAAAATAATTTGCTAGATTCTATATATAAGAATAAATGATTTGCTTTCATATATTTACATATTTTCTTTGTATTAGTCAAAATGAAATATAATTTTTGGCTTCATTAAAGATACAACAAACTAAAAATATTATTAATGACTCTAAAGATATTATTAATATTGTACTTTTGAATATTTGACTTTTTATATTTATAATGACAATATTCATAGAAGTTTCCCTCCACCGAATTTGATCTTGATATCGGAAAAAAACCCCAAACCTTCAGAAACCTAACTTCTTCTGTATCCTTATTGTTATAAGGCCCTTCTTTCTCACTGGAACAGTTAGTATATACACCACCAAGATGAATGTTTCGTCTTTCTCAGAGGATTATTTGAATCACATATGACTACATTTGGACAGTTTCAATAATAATCTAATAAGTAATTTAAGTAAGAATGCATCTTACTGATTTAAGAAGGCTTTCCTACTACTTAGCAGACACCAATTTAAAACGTGAAACGAAACTCACAGTAACTACGTTATCATAAATATCATGTTTTGCAGACAACACAGCTGGAATTGAAACCCGAAGAAATGGATACAGCCGCAGGCAGCAAGAGTTGTATTTCCTCCCAGTGGTGATAGAAGACAGCAGTTACCCTGTCCAGAGCAGCACAAGCACAGTGACTATTCGGGTCTGCAGATGTGACTCTGATGGAACCATCCTGTCCTGTAATGTCGAAGCAATTTTTCTACCTGTAGGACTGAGCACTGGAGCTCTAATTGCAATACTACTATGCATTGTTATACTCTTAGGTTAGTTTTCATATAATCATGTTTTCTGTATCTCTCTCTGTCTCTGTATTATATGCCACATCAAATTACCACGCCTATTTAATTATGTTTACTGAGCTGGTTAGAAAACTAGTGATTATTAAAAACAATTTTTATTAAATATACTTTTCATTTGGCATTTTCCATGTAACATCATCAATATCTTTAAGTCATGAGGAATGTTAATGATGAAAATTTTACTTCTATTCTACCATGAAAATCTCTGTGATAACTATCAATTTAAAAATATTTCTCAGATTTATGTGTATAAACTGGGTTTGAAATTTTTTAATTTTCTAAAATATATGGCATTCAAAAAAATTTGCTAATTATTCCCAATAATCTTGAGCTTAGAATATAGTTACAATAAGATTACATAAATTGTTGTTTTGTAGTAGAATCCTTAATTATTGAGAATTGTACTTCCAATGAGTTCCACTAAATATTTTTTATTATAAAAATAAAATAAAACCATTTCTCTATTAACTTTGCCAACTATTAATTGTCACTGCCTAATAAAAGCAATACAGAAGTTTTAAAGTATCCCAGATGAGTAATACTTTGCAATTTCCATCTAACAAAGAAAAGAAGAAATCAAAGGGTCTAAGAAAGAAGCAGAGATTAAAGTGACCTTAAATATGTTACATTCTGCTTACACTGCAATTCGAAAATATCTTTAACATTTATTTTATGGTCACTCTTTAAAACCAAAGGAAATGGATGTAAACCCCAGCATTGAGCTTACACAAGCATAGTCATCATTTAAAAGTCCTTTAAAAACAGGACAATAGCTTTTTCTCTAGAATGAAAATAATGGTAGGCAGTGAGTTACATTTTAGAGAAAAAACTCCCAGAATCGACACTCATTGTTACATAGTAACTTCTAGACCAATTTGAACAGTGTAAGTATTAATTCTGTGTGGAGATCTTGGTTACATGAACAAAGCATTCCATTATGTCTTCATAATCCAAGACAATATTTGTCTAGCATATGTTTTTACTAGTGTTTCAAACTTCAAGCTGTATATTCAAATAGATTTCTCACATTAGAAATTATCCATGTTTAATTAGTATTTGACATCAGCTCAAATGTACTCATTCTCCTTTGTGATCACGTAGCTTATTGAATCTGGAAGTACTTGTTTATCTTCATAACAAGGCTCAAGTTATTGTAGGTAGTCTCCTCTGGCTCATGTTCCCTCATGAAATAAATAAGCAAATTGTTACCTCATCAGTATTAATGGTGCTTGCTGTGTAATTATCTCCCATAATTCCTCCTGAATATCCATAGTTCACTTGTACTATTCTAGATACTATTAATCCCTTCTTCATAAAAAATAATCACTTGATTCGTTGTCTTATATAAGACCCTGTTTTAAAATACATCTATTTCTGAATATTCAGCCACATACTGTTTATTGCACAGTTTTTGTCTCCTTTCAAAGAGTGAGGATAAACTATAGAAACCTGCATGCCTGGTGTTTCTTATAGATAACTTTCCTCCAGATCAAATAGAATCTGACTATCGTTGCATTGTTAAATCTTTTGACACGTAGTAATGCTCTTTAAGGTTTTCAGTATATTGCCCAATCGCTGGGATATCGGCATCAGTGACTTTGCATTGGATATTCTATATGTCAAGGGAAAACTGTACAGTCCTAAATACCATTCATGGATTCTTTAAGAAGCAACATCTAAGGCTCCTCTTTCCTTCCAATATGCTCAACTTTAAATTTGGTGAGAGAGGGAATAAACACATCAGCTCTTACCATTGAATATTTTCTAGGCTCTCATTTAATCTATGCTATGAAAAAAAGAAACACACTTTGCCTTTATACTATTGTTACTCTTTTGGAAGAATGTGAGACTGTTGTCCAAAAGATGAACACATATTTTATCTTGTCATTATGTGCCTGCTTATGTTTTGAATAATAAACACCATTAACTTAATGGTGAGTATTCAGTAACTAAAAATAAAAAGATACAATAACAATTGCAATGAATAGGTATACCAAATTATTTTATTTTTTAACTTTTTAAAAAACGAACTATCTTTTCTCATTATACATACCAATCCATGTTCCCACTCTCTCCATTTCTCCCATTCCCTCCACAAACCCCCCACACCACACCTACCCACTTTTCAGAGAGGGTTAGGCACATTGCACTGAGGAAGGTCCAAGGCCCTCCTTACTATATCTAGGCTGAGCTAGGTATGTCTCCCAAAGAAATCGGTTCCCAAAAAGTCATTATATACAGTAGGAAAAAATTCTGGTGCCCTGCCAGTGGTCCCTCAGTCTGTCCCAGTCATGCAACTATCAAACACATTCAGAGGGTCTAGTTTGGTTCTATACTTGTTTCTTTCTCAGTCCGGATGGATTTGGTGAGCTCCCATTAGCTAAGGTAGACTGTTTCAGTAGGTTTACACATCATGCTGTTGACCTCTTTGCTCATAATCTCATTCCTCTCACTCATCAACTGGATGTTGGGAGCTCAGCCATGTGCTCCAATGCGTGTCTCTGCCTCTGTTTCCATCAGTTGCTGGATTTTATTTTATTTTAAGATTCTATGGTGATATTTAAGATATTCATTACTCTGACTACAGGGCAAGACCAGTTTGGGCACCCTTTGCTATTGCTTAGGGTCTTAGCTGGAATCATACTAGTGGATTCCTGGAAATTTCTCTAAAGCCAGGTTTCTTGCTAACAGCCTAATGACTCCCTCAGTCAAGATGTTCCCTTTCTTGCTCCCCTCTCCGTCTTTCTTTCATCTTGAGTATCCCTTTCCCTCAAGTTCTCCTTACCCCTCCCCTATTCTCCTCCTCTTTCCCCTCCACCATCCCTCACCCCCTACACTCCTATATTCCCAATTTTGTTAGGTAATCTTGTCTATGTCAACTTTCCATGTGGATCTATATGTCTCTCTTAGTGTTCACTTATTACTTAGCTTCTCTACGATCATAAACTGTAGGCTTAATATCCTGTTGTTTATGGCTAGCATCCACTTATGAGTGAGTATGTATCCATTTTTTATTGCCATAATATTTTCTCTGAGTCCAAAATATTAAAATATAATAGAAAAATATTTGATATTATTAATGGTTTTCTATGATTTTCTAGTATTTAGCATTTCAATGTGAAGTTGACATTAGAAAATTCATAAACATATGCATGATAATCTTATCGATGATATTATTATAACTATGAACATATTATGAAGCCATTAAAGAAATTTAGCTATTATTGATCTACTTTAGCATTTATAGATACTAAGTGATATATGTGCTTCCATTTACCAAATTGGTTTTTCTGTGTCCTTCTAGCTATAGTTGTGCTGTATGTAGCATTGAGAAGGCAGAGGAAGAAGGACACCTTGATGACATCTAAGGAAGACATAAGAGACAATGTCATCCATTATGACGATGAAGGAGGTGGGGAGGAAGACACCCAGGCTTTTGACATCGGGGCTCTGAGAAATCCCAAGGTGATTGAAGAGAATAAAATTCGCAGGGATATAAAACCAGACTCCCTCTGTTTACCTCGTCACAGACTCCATGCCGAAGACAACACAGACATAAGGGATTTCATTCACCAAAGGCTACAGGAAAACGATGCGGATCCAGCTGCCCCACCCTATGATTCCCTGGCCACTTATGCATATGAGGGAAATGGGTCAGTGGCAGAGTCACTCAGCTCCATCGACTCTCTCACTACAGAAGCAGACCAGGACTACGACTATCTCACAGACTGGGGGCCCCGCTTCAAAGTCTTGGCAGACATGTTTGGAGAAGAGGAGAGTCACAGTCCTGATAATGTGACCTAGGGAAGAAGAAAAGGCTGGTTAATACACAGCTAGAGAAGAAAATTTTATCAAAAATATTAACATAAAGTTTTAACAAACACACACGCACACATGCGCACACGTGTGCACACAAACACTCTCTCTCTCTCTCTCTCTCTCTCTCACACACACACACACACACACACACACACACACACTTCCAGAATCTACAGGACAAGAGTCCTTTGATCATCCAGCTTCTAGCAATTTGTCCTATTTACCGTCTTGTCATTTTGGGTTATTCTGATGACACAAGATAAATCCTATAATACGTCCTTGCTTTGTTTTGTTTTGTTATTTCAGGAACACTCTGAGCAGAGCTCAGATCTATTAAATACAATTCACTGGCATGACAACCTAGAATGAAGATAGCTATGTGGCATCACGGTGGAAGAGTGTGAGATTTTTCTTAATTCCACTAAAGTGCCTATTGAAACTCTTATCATTGAACGTGGTGTACACAACATTCCGCTGTGATGGCTTTGCAGGAGTCCGAGATAAAGAGGAACAAACCAGGTGTGTCTCTATGTCAAGGAGCAATAGCGACACGCTGACTCTCATTCCTTTCCAGAACAAAGAAGACTACTTCTCAATCCCCATCTTTTTTGAAGGCAAATGTTTTCTTTTCAAAATTGTAAACTGAAAATTATTAGTTTTTCCTCTTCTTTCAGAAACTGGAATAAATGAGACATGAAATTCAATATGTAAGTCATGAATTGTAAGAACAATGCTTAAATCATAACATTATTTCATGTAAAAGATGTTAACTAAGCTGTTAGCTTTTCCAAAAACTAAAATTATATAGAGGAAATTAAAAGGATCCATCTTTGTAAAAAGACGCCTCATGGCTCAAATTCCAACTTCAAATAAACACTGGTTTGCTTAATTCTAAACTGGTATGTGGAAACTGGTTTGAAAATGTCAACAAATCCTTTAATTTTCCAATCAAAGATAAAGTTTCAGATGTGTTTCTCCTGAAATTTCTGAAAGGAAAATATACTACTCATTTAAACACAAGAAAAAGTCTCCATTCAGATTTTTAGCATTTTTATCAGTGGGATTTTGATGAATGATTCCAACGAAATGCATATCAAATAGTGTGATTTATAACAAGTATGAACTTTTAATCGGTACTACTGAACAAATAAGAGTCAGGGACTTCTAAAATCAAACCAATGACTAAATCCCAAAGGGAGCAAAACTTCAATGCCAGGCAGCTGATTCACTTCCTCTAGTGATATTGATTTTAACTTTGTCAACTCAGTTTTTATATTGGCTCAGAGTCATCTCTTTTCAGTTTCTCATCTACAAAAATCCTAATGTAAATTACTCCTTATAATTCTTCTGATAGAACTTCTACAGTTTATGCAAATTCTGAGAAATGGTAGGACTTATGACTACAGTAATAAACATGGCTCAAACCAATTGCACATGGGTTATCCATTATTCAAAATTTCACATGATACAGCAAATGAAAACAGAACATAAAGTAACAGCTATTCTTAACAATATATTTGTAACAACTGACCACTTCTACCTATGATATACATAGAGAATAATTAAGGTTACTTAAATATGCATACATAAGATATGGCTAATATCTAGGTTTGTTATAAAATATCTATGAATATCATTATCATTTGTGAGGTCATGAAAATAAAAGTGCACACTGTGGAGTCTTAGAAATGTAAGGAATGGACAAATAAATTTCAGTCAATTATCAAATGCATATTTTCAAATTTTTTTATGATGTAGGGATATGCCCATTGTGTCTGTGCTTTCTGTCTTTTTCAGACTCATCCCTTTTGTGATGCGATTTAAACCATTCCACTGTTGATTCTGTTTTCATGTAATAATAAACAAATACCTTCAGGATTTCACATCTGAGAAAAGTAACTGTTTTATATAACTTATCCTTGCATTACATACTAGACAGGAAAAAACACCTAATATAACTTTTTTCTTATTTCACTATGTATGGAGATTGTCTCCCGAAGGAGGTTAATATGCAACACCACATCCTACTAAGACATGATTCTTATTAAAGATTGTTATAGCTTTTAGTATTTTCACAGGAAATATAACTGCCTTTTCATAAAGTTGCTAAGCAGAAGCCATGAAGACATGAAGATCTGAGAAACAGATTGTTTTAAACTACAGGACTAAGAAGATATAAAAATATGCAATATGGAGCACTTGATTTTCATCACACATATCACTCCAAATTTCTTTGTCATTTCCTACATTACATCATTAACTATTAAGGTGATCATAACAACTTATCACAGACAAAATGTCTTTAAACAATAAAGTTACCTTATGTCTCAGAGTTGGGGTTTCCATTCAACATCTTCTCCTATTCTTGGATAATACCTCTTTTCCTTCCTGTATTGTTTTTCTCTCTTTCCACTTTGGTCTGGTCTCTGATAGTTTCTGTTTCTCTTTTCATAAGGGCATCCTTCTTATTAGATCAGCATCTACCCATAAGACCTCTTTTTACCTGGTTTACTTTATTAAAGGCCTTATCACAAAATACTATCCCAGTCTAAGGAATTTGGGTTGGCACTTCAGCATGTGAATTTGTCCAATCCCAGATTGAAGACTGTAACAATGTATACTTTTTAACTAGCATTTGATTTACAATGACCAATTAAAGTAACATTAAAATAAGCTTAGACATAATTATCAAAGTAATATATGATGTGGAAAAGAGATCCTTTGGTGCTTACAATCAGAGGGGTAATTATATCTTTTAGGCTAATGAAAGGACTAAGCCTAATAATTTCAATACCTGTTATACTTTGGATGTTTTTCATTCATGCAAATAGATATTGTCTTTCACTCAAGCATTAAGCAATATAAAAATGATGAAAATTTATATGAATGATTTTAGCTGTAAACAACTAAACCACATTTTATTATTGGCTTGCATGTCTATCTTTATAGATCTAAATATGTACATATATATGACTTGTCTGTTGCTGTCAATGCTTTTCAAAGAAGTGTACAATCAATATACAAAAGTGAAGCAGTGTTATTGATGTATACTAAAAACAAATTTGCGTGCTTTGAACCATATTCACTTTTTTTGACTCCAAACGTCCTCTGGATCAAATTCCTTGGCCTCCTGTGTTTTATTCTCTTTAGTGAAACTTATTTGTTATATGCAGTACCATGTACAGTTAATCAAAATTCTCTTGTCCTTAAATTATAGTAATTACTGTATGAAGTATAGCAAATATTTTATCTACAGACTAAGAATATTTGAAGACTCACGGATATTTGAAGTTGTTGTACAACAAAAAATATTTAAATCAAGTAGGGATTTGATTGATCATTGATTAAAACTCACTAGTTCTACTTCAGAAAACTATAAAACTGTTTTTTGATATGTATGAAAATTATTCTGTGAAGTAAAAATATAGAAACATCATAACATAATGAAAACCCAGATACTGAGGCATGGATGTTCTCCTTCCTTAAAAATTATGCAAAAACATGAGTACTGTTAGGAAATATGAGGGTGTTATGCAATACAATGCAATACCATAAGAGAGCAGGCATTTCACCACAAGAATTACAAATACATTGAAACAATAAAAATCATAGCAACAACAAGAAAAACAATAAATAATAACCTAAATGGATATATTTGAAAGCATTGTATGTTAGTGGCTCCCTGATTAAGTGCATTTCTTAGAATAGAGGTGGTTTAAATTAGTACTATGTTATTAACAAAAAAAAATTGATTATGAAAGGATTGATTTGCATAAGATTTTTGCTCAAAAAATTTTTGTCTTACCATTTAAAAAGTGGTAGGTTGGTTAGCTATCCAAAACTTATTTCAAACCATTGCTTTCTCATTATGTTAAAAAATACTGTGGGGAGAGGAGAAATTGCTCAGTTTTAAAATAACTTGCGGCTCTAAGGAAGGACCGGTGTTTAGTTACTAGCACCATCATCAGAATGGCACACAGCTGTCATTAACTCCCTTACCTGGGGATTTTGATACCCACTTCTGGAATTAAAATGTACCTGGCTACACACATGTGGATCCCTGTAAATGGATACACATATATGCACATGATTAAATGTAAAACACATTTGTTTGAAAAAGTTATTTTGTCTCATAGTCTATCATCAACTCCTTAGGTGATTCAGAGTGATGCCTGTATCCATCCTTCATCCAAGTAGCCACAGTATTTTGTGTGAAGATATTCATCATTTTCCTACTCTCAGTGTTAAAGAATTTCCTTTTAAGTCTCTATGTTGTCATTTTAATGACTAACTCTTTTCTACCTTTTTTCTTATGGAGCTTTGGAACTTGTGACACTGTGATAATTCCCTCTGTTCACTTTGGTGCAATCTTAAGTTTGACTTTGTTGCAATTTTAACAATTGGTTTTTGTATATTCACTGTTTAATAGTAAATTGTATTGTCTTTTAAATTGTACTTCCAGTATATCTTATTCTCTTTTGTGGTGGTCATCTCATTTATGTCTTCTAGTTATAACCTTCTTCTTCACAAGGGTTTTCTGCTTAATTACAGAGGTATTTGTTACAATTTGCTTTTTTTCTTTTTTCTATTTTATAATTAATAATATGTGAGTTACATCTTGAGCTTCCTATCATTTTGATAATAGCTGCATATAGCAATTACATGTTCATTTTTTTCACCAAGTCAGATACAAAGCCACAGTGTAGGGAAGGAAATCATATTGTCTTAGAAATTCCTTTAGACATACTTTCCTCATTCCAATTTTTCCCTCCATGAAATGTCTAGAATCTGACATATTTTAGTAGCATGTGACAAAGTATGCTTTTGGATGAGAAGCTTCACTCTTTCTCCAATGTGATAATCCAACATGGAGTTCTACCTATAATCCATCACTGAACCGTTAGCCTTCAACTCATATAATCCAAACACTCACTGCTATGTGGATTACATGACACCTGGTTTAGAGAAGACATAAAAATATCAATACAGACACATCCATGTATGTTTAATATAAAAATAACAGTGTAAAGAAATGATTTGCAAAAAAAATATTCCCTTATCATTTAAATGATTATCATTTTAATCTTTATCAGTA